CTGGTGAAAATTTCATGTCATTAGCACCTCTAGTAATATATTTACTGAGAAAAATGGTGACGTGTTCAATACTTATTTTACCCGCTGTATGAAGGAACAGTAAACACATTATAAAATGTTGCTATGACATCAGGCTCTGTTGGCAGAGTTATTATCTAATAAAAGGTAATTTGAACACTGTTTCATTCCGCTTTGGAGGGTTTTAGACTTTTCAGCTGACTGTTAATCCTTCAGAATGTGTTGAAGTTTGGATTCTGAACAGAGTTGTCAAGTTCTACCAACCCATTACCTGATAGACTATAAGTCATTTTTAACAAATAGAAACTCCTCTTTTATTTTTGTCTATTTTTGTCAAACATCCTTTTTTCAGACAATCTTTTGTGTTAATGGAACCAACAACAGGGGGCGGGGGGGATAATTAATTTACTTGTGTCTGTTTTGTGCCCAACCTCAGATGGAAAAGAGTGGATTTCTCTCTCTGGGTAGAGAGGTTCAAGTATCTTGGGGTTTTGTTCACGAGTGAGGAAAGAATGGAGCATGAGATTGATGGACAGATTTGCAGACTGCAGTTTTGCAGACTGTGAACTGTTCTGTCATAGTGAAGAGGGAGCTGAGCTGTAAGGCAAAACCTTTCCTACTATGTTCCTAACATCACCTATGGTCACAAACTTTAGGTAGTGCCCAAAAGAACAAGATCAAAGATTAACTTCTACCAAAGACAGAAAAATGTCAAGATTTGATCAACTTTAGAATTTAATGGTGGAGCCACACGTTTAGCATTAGATCCAGCTAAGAATAAATTTGTCCACAATTTATATTTTTAGTTGATTTAGGTATTGAATCTTGTTAGGTTAAGTCATTAGCTAATGTTTTGATAGATTTGTGTATTTAAATGGGATAAGGTAAGAATAGGACAACATGGCGTGTTTATAAGCGGATGTGATAAAACACTGGGCCTCATGCAAGAACATGTTCGTATTTTTATCCTAAATTTCTCTTACTTTTGTTCGTACAAAAGGGTTCGTACGAACATGTCACGTCAGATTCAACAAACTCTTCTATCTTCAGGAAAAGTG